AAGCAGGCCGGGAATCATGGGACTCTTTGGCTACCAAAATAGAAGAAATATCCTTATCATCTAGTTGAGCTTGCCTGATAGAATCTACTTGCCAACCATCAAGAACTATGCCACCTTCTGGGGTAATGGTATTCTTTAATGCTTCACTTCTAGTGACGGCACATATTTGTATGTCTGGAATGGAATGACTGGCCTCATCATCACTGTCAATCTGTGAATTTCTCAGCTCCTGGCGTTCACATGAACGACAAGGCCTACGGGACAAAGCGTCTGCATTGGAGTGTTTTCTCCCAGCTCTATGTGTGATGGTGAGGTCATACGTTTCAATCTCCTGAAGCCATCTAGCTGTTTGCCCAGTAGGATTTTTAAGATTTTTCATCCAGGTTATTGCAGCATTGTCTGTACGTAGAAGTACTTTTTGGCCATATAAATAGGAATGAAATGCTTTAAGGGACATGACGACTGCCAGTAATTCTTTTCTGGTGACACAGTATTGTTGCTCATGTTTATTCATTGCCTTACTCATGTATGCTATAACTTTTTCAGAGCCGTCTTGGACTTGGGAAAGAACACTTCCTACTGCTTTGTCACTGGCATCAGTATCCAATATAAAACTTAGTTCTGGTAAAGGGTAGGCAAGAATTGGAGTATCTGTTAATCTTTGTTTAAGTAGTTCAAATGAAGTTTGGCATTCTGCTGACCATAGGAACTTGGCATTCTTTTCACATAAGGCATGAAATGGGCGGGCTACCTGGGCAAATCCCTGGACAAATCTCCTGTAATATGAGCATAGCCCCAAGAAACTTCTCATTTCTTTTGCAGATTTTGGAATTGGCCAATCTACAACTGCCTGAACTTTATCGGGATCTGTTGATATGCCAGACTCTGACACTACATGACCTAGAAACTTTATTTCTTTTTGAAAGAAGGTACATTTTGAAGGTTTAAGTTTGAGATTTGCTGACAAAAGACGTTGAAATATGTGCTCAAGCCTTTCAAGATTTTCAGAAAAACTTTGACTTGGGACTATGATGTCATCCATGTAAACGAGACATTCCTGCCACTGTAGTCCTCTCAATACATTTTCCATAAGACGTTCAAAGGTAGATGGGGAGTTGGCTAAGCCGAAAGGCATAACTGTGAACTGGTATAGACCAAGGCTAGTATTAAATGCTGTTTTCTCTTTGTCGTCAGGTGACATAGCAATCTGCCAAAAACCTGAATTGAGATCCATGGAACTAAACCACTTTGAATTTGCAAGGGAGTCTAGACACTCATCTACTCTTGGGAGAGGATATGCATCCTTTATGGTGACGTCATTTAGTTGTCGGTAATCTACACAGAACCTCACCTTGCCATCCTTCTTTACAACTAATACAATGTTTGAAGCCCAAGGACTACTTGAAGGTTCAATAATTCCCCTGTCTATCATTTTCTGTAACTCCTCTTTTTCTATTTCTCTCTTTCCTATGGGGAGTCGTCTACTGGGTTGTCTAATAGGAAGAGCTGTTCCAGTATTTATCTTATGTTGAGCTAAATTAGTGTGTCCAATGTCTTCAGATGATTCAGAGAATACTGTTTTGTATCTGGTCAATAGGTCTTGCAGGGCACCAGTTTGATCATTGTTCAAATGTATTGAGCTTCTTTCCAGTAATTCCCTAAGATGAGAAGGCAAGGTATTTCCGGTATCGGTCATGGGTGTTACAGCTCTAATAGAACTGTCAATTTGCAGATCTGTATAAGACTCACATGTACCCACTTGTTGATTGGCATAAAGTGTAACAGGGTCAGGGCTAGTATTCAGTACATTGAGGGTCAATTTGTCATGTTGTTTATGTAAATCAACAATCCCTGGAATAACATAGGTGTCACAATTCTCTGTATTGGATTCCACTAGTCCCAGTTTTGTTAGGTATTCAGAACCTGGTATTTTGACTGATAATATAGCACCAGTATTCGGTGGTACTGTGGTTGTCTGGCAAACTAGGACTCTGCATGTATGGTTCTCTTTCTTACCAATCCAACATTGTATCTCATCTTGCTGGAAGGAGTGTAGCACTGAACGCTTGTAATCTATTTTCTGTACAAAATTTAGGAGAAAATCTTGGCCCAGGATGCCATCTTGACTGATGTCACATACAATGAATTTTTGTTTGTAAGTCTTTTTGCCTAAAAGTAATGACAGACACAAAGAACCATAGGTGTTTATTTTGTTCCCATTAACATTTGCAATATGGAGGTCTGTTGGTTCACTTGCACAAGCTGAATTCAGCTCATCATAGAAATTCTTGGAAATGAGGGATGCTGTAGATCCACTATCAATCAGAAAATTTATTTCACAACCATGGACTGTTGCACAAGTATAAAATCCATTGTCCCATTGACTACCCACTTCCCCAATATGGCCTCCTCTTGTATCGAAGTCAAAAGTAGGCCACCCTGTTTCCGCTGGCTGTGGGCCTATTGAGTCAGCGGTTTCTCGTTTCCCTGTGTCTTTTGGTTTTGGCTTGGAGCAGTGGTTTGGTTAAATTTTTGCTGATATTGGTTATGGTATGCTTGGAATCTGTGAGGGCAAGCTCTCATAAAGTGACTTGGTGAATTGCATATAAAGCAGTTTTTGTGTGTTGGGAAGGGTCTATGGTTCTTATTGGAGCTGTGTTCCAGGCGATCTAATCTTGTAATAAGGTTCTGAAGGGTAGAATTAATTTCATTGTTTCCTTCTTTTTCAGGCTTCTGCTCACCAAAAGACCGTTTTGCTCTCGCGTTAGACTCAACTGCACGAACATTCAACTTGCGCTTTTCGGAACTGTCACCAAGAATGGACTCGTACCTTTCGATAACATCAACTGCTTCGCCCACCGTCTGACAATCTTTGTCAATGCACCGACACTTCATTTCAAGGGAGATAACTTTATATAACTGATTGAGAGCTAATGCTTCCTGAGCTAAGGCATCTAAATTATGGTAGGCTCTTTGTGCCATCTGCCGGATGTCATCACCCAATTCTGCTATGGACTCGCCTGGGAGGCGTCGCCTCATCTCAAGTTTAGAAAGCCATCTGTTCTGATTTCTAGTACTACCAAACCTCTGATTCAGTTTGTGAACAAGAGACTGAAAGGATTCTTTATCATCAGGGGATAAACTCATATAATAAGTTCTAGCTTGATCGCGAAGACTTGCAGCAAGGAAAAGTAACTTAGTGCGGTCAGACCATTGGCCTAATTCAGCACAATCTTGAAAATGAGAGATGTACTCATCCCAATCATCTTTACCATTAAAGGACTCTGGCTTTACAACCACATGGGTATCGGGGGACTGTCTAAACACATCAACCAATCTATCATATTGCATTCTGGGAGGAAAATTTTCAGGATATGGTACAAATCTATCTCTATTGGGAAGTTCTGGTTCAACATTGGGAGTTGGGGTGTGGCTAGGTCTCTCTGGACGTTTAGGAGAGGGGGAAGAGTCAAAGAACTGGTCACCTTGACCTAACTCATTATCATCAACACGGAAGTGCACTTCAGGGTCTGGAGATGGAGCCGTTGCCATCTTACTAATATTTAATTAAAATGTGAAACCATAAATATTAAATTAACAAGTATATTATATACAGGTAATACCAACACACTGGACAGCTGAGCGGTTACTTAACAGTGAATGGGTTTGTATCACTGGATGCCTTAGAAAAATAGGCATCCCACTTCTGACACCAAAAATTGTAAGCTCCCCACGGATGGCCATCCTGAAATGGGGGGGGGGCATACAATGTACTTATACAACATTTCTCAAGGTCACTCCTATATTCTTGGTTCATGATTCTCAGTAAGGACAAAGCTTGGTATCAGTTCAAATATTGGTTTATTAATTCATCTTACAACAGGAAAGGATAGTATGGTAAACAAAAGTCTATATTGGATACATATAGATATATCAAGTAATATTTGTTATGGTCTGTGGCGTCAACCGTACTTTCAAGGGTAAAAGGGGTAGAAAAGTTGATTTGGAATTTAAAAGCTCTAAATATCAAATATCAGGTGTCCAGTGTGTTGGGAGATAATTGGCAGTTTTTCCTCACCTAGAATTTAGAATTTGGATGTTGCTGCTGCAACTTATCTGCCATAAACTGGCGAGGCGCTTATATTTATAAGTTTCTGAAGTAGTCATGTGACACAAATTAACGAATGAAAAAGCTGTACGGTGACGCTCGACCAATCACAGCATTGTACGGCGCCGTACAAACAGAGATCTGTCAAACAGTGCCAAACAACGTCAAACAAGGCTGCCGTACAATGTGGATTACAGCTACAAAACGGAATTAATATTTACATTTGCAATAATAAATAATATGATATGGATCTGGAGGATGTTTTCATCAACTGTAAGTAAGCATTTCATGTGAATTAAACGTATATTTCATGATAGAAAACTGCAATCGTACAGCAGACGATATTCAAATAGCTCTGTCATAATAAAAATGTGTAACTACTATTAAATCCCGTTTAAAGTAAAACCGCTGATAAATCTTAGTAAAACATCTTCAAACATCAATTTTGTGGATATTCACAAACAATTATAACATCGAATTGCATGAAAAAGTAGAACTTGTTCAAATACGAAACTATGGCTAACACAAATAAGATGTCGGCGGGATGTAAACAACTTCCATGACTCTTGCAATCGTGTGCACTTATGGCAATGTTAGGCACGTATTTAATTCAAATATAATTTGGAAAAATACAGTAACATGGAAAGGTTTTAAAGGTATGTACTTCAATTCATAGGATGGAGGATTTCCTGTATAAATGAATGCAACAAATAAGTCAAATGTGCTATAAATAGACGATACCACGTTCTGTTATTATTCAGATAGCAGTGTAGTTTATGCATAATGAAGTCCACCCTGATAATAATCCCAATAAATGATAACACATTTCAGTCATATAAAAAAATAAACTAATTAATTAAATTCTACTCTATGGCCATTACAATATATTTACCGACTAAGCGAACGCTGGACTGGAACTATACGAGAACCCGGACCATTCTCATATCCTGTTGCCACTTTGGAAAAGTCAGAAATAGTTGTTACAAAGTTAGAACTGTCCATTCCCAGAGGCTGAAACAGTTCCTCTCGGATCAAATCTTCCCATTTCTTACCACCAAGCTTCTCAGATATGTAAGTAACCAAGGCATAGTTTAGGTTACTGTAGATAAAACTTGTCCGAAAAGCATGTATGGACTTTAGATATGGTATCCGTCTAAAAAAATGAAGTTATTTTGAAATGATTTAAAAAATACAACAAATGAAGAGAATGATTTGTTAATATGTGCAATTGATAAAAAAAATTGTATATCGTAACAATGAAAACGAGTATATACCCGTTATGCTGTGATAAATTTCTATCGTTCGTTTGAAGATACTTTTAACATAAAAGTGCACAAATTAGAATTACAAGTGTCAAATTTTCTAAGCTTTAAGATATTTTTAATCCTTTTAGATCAATAATATTTCCTTGCTCGTTCATAAAATTTTGATTCAGAATATTTCAGATGCAGAACCTTTTTTGACAACCAAGCTGAGAATGGCAGTACAATTTCCTTAATCATACCTTTGCAAGTTATCGCTTGTGAGACTGGAGTCAAATCTCAGAAAGTTGTTGTTAGGAATGCCTAAAGTATGGGACATGAGATCCACTAAATTAGCGTTATCCGTTCCTACATGTGTGGAGAATCTGAAGCTTGGTTCCATCAAGTCTTTCACTTTTGTGTAAATACTTAAACTGGAATGTAAAGACGCCGTTATACTTAAAAACAGGGTTGGCATTCATAAAGCTGTGTACGTGCATGCAGAATTGGTGTGACATCTTTTTATTGTATCTCCATTGTTTTTAAAAAATCTAACACATGAAAATGTGATGTCTTTTAAAATATTACCGAATGCAAAACAATCAGGAATTTTCAAATTATATGCTCAGTTATTTTAAGCCAACTTTTGAGAAAGTTCACGGTCCTTGAAGTTTAGCAAAAAAATTAAAACATGATGGAAAAATTTTCCTCTTCGTTGTAAGTGTCGTATTTTTGGCTTACTGACTCGGTACAGTTGATAAATAATAGAGAGGTTGAGATTTTAAATAAATATTAAATAATTGAAGTTTCTTACTTCGAATATTGGTGTAGTTGTTTAACAAGAAGTGTTGCAGCGAATGCTTTCGACATGGAGGCGATTTGGAAAAGCGTCTCATTCGTAACTGGAGCATTGGAGGTGGTGTCTGTGACTCCGTATCCTTTGGCAAAAAATAACTTTCCATCCTTCACGATACTAATGGTCAATCCTGGATTCTTAGGATGGCATTTTAGTGCCTGTAATACCGATAATCAGTTTACTAAATGAATATATATTTTCCACAACTTGCCCCATTTATATATCGTCCACTTTATTACCTGCTGACATGATTCTACATTAATTATAACGTACAATGTACATGGAGTCATTTTAGAAATATGGGACAGTTTAAGGTCAAGATCTAGTAAATAAAAGGAGCCTACAGATTTCTCAAATTTGAGAAATAAATTCCTTGAATGAAGCTTTATAAATATAGCTTGGTCAAATAAGGTGTTTCGGGGCATAATTTGTAGGTAAACAAGACGAAAAATCATATATTAAATTGTCATTTTTGTTGAAAAATTAAGAAAATCAGTCATGAATATAGGAGTTTTTTCCATATCAGACAAATTAAATGTATCCAGATTGCCTACAGTCTCTCAGAAAACGGTAATTTTTATGTTCTTGGCCTCTTCTTTAAAATAACATTAAATTGAATATAGGTTTCGGGATTACTTTTCACATGATTTCAAATTGAATTCCAGGAAAATACTTTATTTTCTACATTATTCTATTACAGCTGTAAAGTACGGGAAAAAAGAAAGTATAATTTGATTATGACGTCATAATGGATCTAGCATCAAAAATGCAGTCTACAATCATTTACTAGATCTTGACCTTAATACATTACAGAAACGTCAATTCGCAAACACGATTGTTCGATTGTGTTATTCAGTCTTCATGACATCAAAACTGGTCGAATAAGAGGGGCCATTAAATAGTGTCCCCCAGTGTTCTTTTCAAAATGGGTCAGGGTTACTTTGACTATCAGCATGCATTTGATGCCATAAGTAATGCCCACCTAATGGGGCAAATGTAGGCACAGTGAGACTTGTCATTGGGAGGGATAATAAATTAAAATTGTTTTTGTTGTTGAAGTTATTGTAAAAACATTATATCTCCCAAAATACACATCCTTATATGTGTCGGATATATTTGAATGAATCTATCTTTTCTCAAGTTGAATATACGTCCCTCTTACCTTATTGATGGTACCATCTATTATTGCTTCAAATTCAGATGAGGTCAGAGCATTTATACTTGTAAATAGAATTACCACAACACACAGAACAAGGGGTCGTTCCATCTTTTTTGTCCCAATATCAGCGGTCTTAAGGTTCTGCTAAAGGCAAACTGTTGTTTGTAGATACAGTTTTAACAGTGGCCAAAATTTGTTGATGTTCCTAATTGTTGAAGCCTGAGAGTTACACCCTTGTAAACTATAGTAATGAAGTTGTCAAAAAACTGTTTTACTTAATATTTTTGCCAAGAAAGAGAAATTCTACGTACAAAATAACAAATTAAAATGCCTTTTGCAATAGCACGGAATTTTAAAAAAAAAATCTAGCCCTTTTCTCCACGAGTATTCAGAGGCAGGATGATATTAAGTTATTTCAAATATGTTTATGAAGGTATACTGGGGTGAAACTCAAAAGCCACAAAAATTATATAAATGCAGGAAGTTTGGAAAATAAATCAATCTACCGATCGAACCTAAGTTGAAGGCTAAGGTATTTATATATTTTGAGATATCTTGCAAAAAGTGGTGACGTTCCCGTCGTGGGACAGACTATAGGAACATTAAAAAATTTTGGACACTCTTAAAACTGTTTCTACAAACAAAAGTTTGCCTTTAGCAAAACCTTAATAAGGAAGAATCATCTACCTTGATAGAAAAAATACACCTCATATTAAACCACCATACAATATAAAGCAGATGCATTATAACCAGATATCTTGATTACCACAATATGCAGCTGAAATAAAAGCTTTGTATAACAACTTCCATTTTCTGTAACGTTTAAAAAGTGGTGTTATTCTTTGGTATCAAAGTCAAGTTGATTTTACCGTTCACGGTAGCTCAGTCGGTAGAGCGCTCGGGAGGTCGTGAGTTCGAATCTCGGCCGCGACTGACCTAAGTCGATAAAAAAATGGATAGCAATGAAATATATGGAGATAACGAACAGTATTCAAGCTCAAAAGTCCATTAATCAATACAAAATAGGAGCAGAGCAAACACGGACCTCCAAACATCAGAGGTGGGATCAGGTGCCATGGAGGAGTGAGCATCCCCTGCCGACCGGTCACACCCGCCGTGTGCTCCTTGTCATGATCGGGAAATAACGGAAAAATCCGTCGACAATTCAGTGTGTAAATAATGGCCTAACAATTAGTGTGAAAAACGTCAGTCAGCATTTGACTCAATGATAAATTGTATTTGCTGACAAGGTCATTGTATCGACCATAGAACTTACGAAATGATGACTTTAAACGAGACAGCTGATATTCTTGTTTCATCAACGTATTTGTCAATAATTTACCTCGTTTTAGAAATTGTACATACGTAGAGCATGCTCTTGCGTATCGAATCAACTGAGAGATATATACCCCGTATGCAGGTGATGAAGGTATATTGCTGCATAAGTAAGGGAAGTTGACGATTGAAAAGTTAAAGTCATCACGTTTATCATAAAGCTTGGTTGTTAGATTACCATTAACGTCTTTTTCAAGTAAAATATCCAAATATGAAACAGATGTGTCAGACTGTTCCTTCGCCATGCGCTCGGCACTTTGAAGTGAAAGTTGCGGGTCCTTCGGATGAGACTTTGAAAAACCGAGGCCCCGTGTCACGGTAGGCGTTGGCACGATAAAGATCCCTCATTGCTCAATGGCCCTAAGTGCCGAGTAAAGGTCAAAATTTGAAGCCCTTCATCGGTATATGGTGACGTCTCTGTATGAGTGAAAAATTCTCGAATGGGACGTAAAACAACATACAATCAATCAATCAAGTTGATTTTCGTTTACACATTATGATAGTCGTATTTATATTTCCCTGATTTTATTAGTTTGCATAATTTATCTATTTTTATGCCCCTGGATCGAAAGATCCCGGGGGTATATTGTGTTTGTCCTGTCTGTCTGTTTTTCTGTCCGTCTGTTGTCAACTTTAACCTTGCCCATAACTTTTGATTGGTTGGAGCTATGACTTTCATATTTCACATGTGTATTCCTTGTGACAAGACATTTCTTTGGGTACCATCATATTTGACCTAGACCTTGGAGTTTGACCCACATTTGCAAAATTTTATGAGACTCTAAATTTGATCATAACTTCTGAACAGTTGGTGCTTGGGGTTTCAAACTTCACATGTGTATATTTTGTGACAAGGCCTTCCTTTGGGTACCAACAACTTTGACCTTTTGACCTTGACCTTTGACCTACTTTTGAAAAACTTTAACCTTAGCCATAACTTTTGAACAGTTAGTGCTTGGGGTTTCAAACTTCACATTTGTATTCCTTGTGACAAGACCTTCCTCTGGATTTCAACCTCTTTGAGCCTTTGACCTTGACCTACGAGTTTGACCTACTTTTGAAAAACTTTAACCTTGGCCATAACTTTTGAACGGTTGGAGCTAGGGCTTTCATACTTCACATATGTAATTCTTGTGAAAAGACCTTCCTTTGGATACCAACCACTTTGACCTTTTGACCTTGAGCTACGAGTTTGACCTACTTTTGAAAAACTTTAACCTTGGCCATAACTTTTGAATGGTCGGTGCTAGGGCTTTCATACTTCACATATGTAATCCTTGTGACAAGACCTTCCTTTGGATACCAACAACTTTGACCTTGACGTTTTACTTACTTTTAAAAAAACTTTAACCTTCGCCATAACTTCTGAACAGTTGCAGCTAGGGCTTTCAAATTTCACTGGTATATTCCCCGAGACAAGACCTTTCTTTGGGTACTTTTGGCCTGGATTTTGACTTACATTTGAGAAACTTTAACCTTCGCCATAAGCTGCCATACGGGGGCATCAGTGTTTCACAAACACATCTTGTTACATATATGATAAAGTATTTTTTGGTCATATACAAAATAAATATATTCATCACAAGGTATTTTCCCCCAGTTATAAACCACCTGATATTTAAAAAATAAATATGATATGGTATGGAGTCATCCGTAGCGTAGTGTATATATTGCACAATTTGCAGTCCTTTCTCACGCATCCGAAACAGCAACTGTTCAACTTAGAAATTTATTACTGAATGTACAGTATGCAAATAAGTATTTATTCAGGTGGCAGGGAACATTTTTTTTAAAATGACAAACATGTGCCGAGGGGTACGCATAAACAAGAGGTCAATAAAAACAGATACGTGGTGACAGTTTCTTGGGGGTTATTGAATTGCACTTTATATACCAATAGCTCAAAACACATGTCAACATATAGCATTTAATCTACATAGAGTGCTCGTGTACCGAAAATGGACTTTGGGGCTTCCCCAGATTGTGGCTTATTTTCCCATGATTTGGGCCTCATCCGCACCCATACAGCCCATCCCAGTCCCGAGCTAGGGGGATAAAACACCCAGAATTCTGTAGATGAATGCATGCCCTAAGGAAAATTCACCAATTGATCTGGGCCCATTCACCTTCCCTGTGAGATGCAGACCTTCTTCCAAGCCCTACTGCTTTCCAGCTGAATTTCCTCGGCAACTGACAGCATGTCTTAGTTTCGCATTTACAGCTCTATATGCTAAGCATCATGATGACACCTACATGTTGCACATCATTTTTCTCAACAAGCACTCTGTTACACTGCACATGTATCTCTTAATTATTTTATTCATTTTTCTACATAAAATATAATATCAAACAGGGATATCTCAGTTTTTTTAAGAAAGAACCACGCACGCTAACTCTCGATTTCCGCCTACATTTTACACCCGTTTAATTCAATATAAATGGCAATTTAGCCATTAAAACTTGATCGAATGCAAAGAAGAGTTTATTATCAATTGATTGATAATTTTAAAACCAGTGTCAAAAATTCTTAATTGCTCTTTTTACGACTCTTTTCAAAAGGGGGGAGGGTTGAAAATGTTATCCATTGAAATCAAGCTTTCAAAAATCGCAAGATTTTCAAAAACGCATGGAAATGGATAAATGGATAAACCTTTAAAAACATCAGAGGTGGAATCAGGTGCCATGGAGGAGTAAACATCCCCTGTCGACCGGGTACACCCGCCGTGTGCCCCTTGTTATGATCGGGAAAACAGAAAAAACCCGCAAACAATTCAGTGTGTAAATTATGACCTCACAATTAGTATGAAAAACGTCAGTCAGCATTCGACTTAATGATAGATTGTATTTGCTGACAAGGTCATTGCATCGACCATAGAATTTGCGAAATGATGACTTTAAACGGGACTGTTCATATTCTTGTTTCATCAACTTGTTTGTCAGAAGCTTGCCTCGTTTAGAAATTGTTCGTACGTAGAGCATGCTCTTGCGGATCGAATCAACTGAGAGACATAAACCCCATATGCAGGTGATAAAGGTATATTGCTACATAAGCAAGGGAAGTTGACGATAGAAAAGTTGAAGTCGTCACGTTTATCATCAAGTTTTGTCGATAGGTTACCATTACAGTTTTTTTTCTAGTAAAATATTCAAATATGAAACAGATGTGTCAAACTCTGTAGTATCTTTTATTTTAAGTTCACTGGGATACATCGATTCGACATATTAATGGACGTAACTATTGTTCATTGAAAACACGTCCTCGATATATCCAAATGTCGAGTTGAAGGCCACAGCAAGTGTTTTCTTTTTCTCATTTAAATTTATTGAGCAATGATCATTATGAATGATTTCTGAGTTATAACAGAATGCATGTGCCATACTTTGCAGCTATTATTGTTTATCTACAACTTTTATATCAGCCATGCTGCAGTAAACAAAAACAAAAGTATATTCTGTCGACGAAGCGCAAATATCTGCGTATTCAATGTGCTTGTTATATAATTTCGTTTGCTGGAGACTCTGCTAACGTTGATTTTAAAAATGTTGTTCTTGACTACAGACAGAAAGACCAATTCTTCACGACCAGTATAAAATTAAGGGTTTTTTTTTTGTGCTTTAATATAAACAATATGGCATAAAATACATATGAGTGACCCGGAACTGGAGACGTCCTGTAATTGGCGACTTCGCTGTACCGTATTCATATACAAATAAGCAATTTATTTCTGTTTAAACACAAATAACAACGGAAACCGGTCTTCTTTCTGAATATCTTGTCCCTCTATGTGAAAAAGATATTGTAGGTCAGTGCGGATATGAGTATATACATTCCATTGAAGAAAGTATAATGTGTTTTTTTCAAATGATAGATATATGTGAAATTCGATAATCTTCTCTTTACTTTAGGGACAGTAGAAAAGGAACTAACAAAGCAAAAGAATGTTAAAATCCAACCTTTTCAGGCGTGTATTTCATCCATCCTAGTCTGGTTTTCGAGGCCTTCCGATTGTGCAAGCACAGAATGCATGGCATCGACCGTTCAATGGCGACGCGCATATGCCAACCCTTTACTTTTATACTTACGTTATATATGTAACATGTACACCATTTCACGGAAAACTCACTGACACGTAACACCTAAAAGTAAAAGTGTACAAAGTGTACAGTGTCATTGCAAAATTCCATGACTTGTATACTCTTCATCAACGTTATTTGGTTTAATATGTCAGGAAAAGTTTCATGTAAACTCTACATCTAAAGATGGTGTTTGAGTGTCAAAACAAAACCCAGCATTTCTTTTTGTTGTCCCCGCAAGATGTGTCTCCTGGCGTTCACATAGATGTGGGGAAATGCTGACAAGGTTCCTTGGTAATTTAATGAATACCCAGAAAGCATCATAATTGTATTTTTATTTTAACCTTGATGTTTGTATATATAAAGATTGATCATGTCACACCCACACGGTATCTTTTTTTAAAGCGACACCGTAACGCACAAACGGGAAATTGACAAACATAGAATTTTTGCATGATCCGTGCAAATTCTGTTCAATCCCTGAAAGTATTAGATTTCAGAAAATTACAGGTTTCGGAACCTAAAAAATATACCTTTATGGAGAAAAAAAAATAACTTTTGTATGACCCAAGACGAAAATTTTGCTTCACCCCTGTAATTTATTCTACTTTTACCTTTTTCCGCTCAGCGTCCCTGATGCGTTTGATTGTATGTGTATTGTCTTACGTCTTGTTATGTTCGTGTATGAATCAGTTTAATAAAAAAGGTTGTAAAAACGCACATGGCGTGGTCAGAAGTTTAAGAGCCAATAAAGAGTCCTAACAACCATTAAATGATGGATATGTTAAGTGGTGCAGTTCCTAGGATGGACTGTGAGGCGCAGGATCTAGAATCCGCCTGGAAAACGTTCAAACAGCATGCAGATTTCATGTTCTCGGGACCCCTCAAAGAAAAGTCGGAACCAGAGAAATGTTCGTACCTTATGCTGTGGGTAGGGGAAAAAGGAAGGACGATATTTTCCACATGGAAACTCTCAGAAGAGGAACAGAAGAAACTTAAAAACTACGTAGAGAAGTTCGAGGGATATGTGAAGCCCAGGTCAAACGTAATTTTCAGCCGTTACAAGTTTCACAGTAAAATTAAAGAAACAGGTGAGACATTTGAACAATTTGCTACTCAGTTGAAAATTTTAGTGAAAGACTAATTATGACAAGCCAGATGAAATAATTAGAGACAGAACTGTGATAGGTGTTCGTAACCCCGAAATCAGAGAAAAACTCATTCAAGTCGGCTCAGAACTGCAGCTAGAGAAGGCAATGGAAATAGCACGCACTCACAAACTTTCACAGGCCCAAGCCAAATCTATGGCAGGAAAAGACCCTTTAGTTAACTATGTTCACAAAGGAAAACCATCTTTACACAGTAGAAGTTTCACAAAATCTGATAGAAGTCAACAACCCAATCACAAGTTCAGTGAAAGTAAACACGAAAAGCTGTGTACTAGATGTGGATACAAACATGATGGGAAACCATGCCAAGCTATAGGACAAATATGCAAGAAGCGTCACAAAAGAGACCATTTTGCACAAGTCTGTAGAACTGAAACCAATAAAAGCAAATCAAAGTCTGTTCGCCTAGTGGAGGAAGAAGACTGCTCAGATTCAAGTGACACACAAAGAGGAGGTGAATTTCTATTCATGGGAAGCCTGGATGTTGACATGATAGATAAACACTCTAACAGATGGACTACAGAATTGGAAATTCATGGGAGAAAGATTACTTTCCTACTTGACACTGGAGCAATGTGCAATGTGTTGCCATTTCATGAAATAGAGAAGATGCACTGCACAGACATTATAAAACCATCTGAAGTACCATTGAGATCATATTCAGGTCACACTATAAAGCCAGCAGTATTTGTGACTCTACCAGTCAAACACAAAGACAGAACAATTGATCTAAATTTTCATTTGGTGAAAATGGATGTCAAACCAATTCTTGGAGTAAATTCCTGTGAAAGTCTTGGTCTTGTGTCAAGAGTATATCAACTTGAAAACAGTGGCATATCAAGTGACATACAAGAGAAGTACAGTGAACTTTTTCAAGGATTATGATGCATGCCGGGAGAGTACACTATAAAAGTGGACCCAAATGTGACACCGGTCATTCACGCACCTCGTCAGATACTACTATCACTTCAAGATAAAGTGAAAGTAGAACTGGACAAGATGGAAGCAAATGGTGTCATAATGAGCGTTTTTATCTGGGACCCGAGTTCCGTCTCGAGTCGAGGCTCTCCAGGTAAAAACGCGAGAGTTCCGACTGGGGTTGATATCGAGGTCGACCCTGCTCTGGCGCAGGGTTTGTATGGATTCAAAATGGCCGACGGCGGCAGCAGTCAAAATCTGTAAGTTTTAAAATTATCGAAAATGTAATACAGAGGTTATTAAAATGGCTGAATTTGTGAATTGAACATGATATTACTTTATAATACATTGCTACAGTTACAACTATTCCGAAAATATATTAATTATAGTCAAAAGACGAAAGAATTTCATTTACTTCACAACTCAGATTATCAAAAGTAACTCCAGTCAGCTTTCGAGACAATATTTACCAGGCTAGCCCCCCCCCCCCCCCCCCAATACACACATACTTTTATTGGCAAAGGAACAACGTACATACTTTCAATTTGCTTCCGACACCACTGGAATTTATTATTGTAGTATAAAAAAATAAAGATAGGGTAAAAATATATATAGATATCTCTTCCCATACATTTAACGGTATATTGATAGAAATTCAGAGGCTTGTGCTTGTACTAATAAGTGTAATACAGGAAAATATTGAAGATTTGATCAGAAAGTAAATAATTAACGAAGCCTCAATTTCATTTATTATTGATATTTGATATGAACTTTTCCATTTTAATCATAATTAACAATTGTCATAACTTTCAGTGTTCTTGTAACTGCAAACATTGATGGTACCACTTACACTGCCTTAATGAGTGAGGAGTTAGCAGAACTGTACAGGTTCCCCCAGTGTGGTAAGAAAAATTATTTTTACAAGTTACTACATTTGTATTTTGAATTAAATATGAATATTTTAAAATGTGAAAAATATATGTTCTTCTATTTCTTCATTATGTAATCCCAATTTTTAGATCCAAAGACTAGAAATGTTTTAGCAGATGCCATAAGAGCTCAGAATACTGGGAGTGAAACGCCATGTACCAGTAATGAAAGGCCATGTACCAGTAATGAAAGGCCATGTATCAGTAATGAAAGGCCATGTACCAGTAATGAAACACCTGTTGAAAACGAATCACCTTGCAGCTCTTCAAGGTCAAGTTTCTCCACACCAGAGTCTACCAGTGCCTCATCATCAACAAATTCAACATCAGATCAGGTAGACGACTATTTCTGGCCAAATTTAGAACAACATCACAGGGATAAATTTTACCCTGAAAAAAATTTAGATATATTTTTTTTTGACTCAGTACCCGAAAGCACAAAATGTTTTTCTGAACTTTATTCTCCTTGGGAGAAAGAAGAAAAAAATATGTCAAAAGAAAGTATTCAAGTGTCAAATGATATGTGTGTCTCTTTGGAGGAATTTCACAATCTTATTGTTGAAAAACTTGATAAGCTACATTTAGATTAATGTATATTTCAGTCTATTCATATTTGGACGATTGCAGAAGAAAAGCGCCTTATAGACTGCCGATTATCAAAAGAGGAAGATTTTTGCAGTAACAAGTCGCACGACTCCTTGTGGCAAGCTATTACAAAGGAATTGAATGGTGAGGGGATGAAATTGACAAAACAGCAGATAATTAACAAGTGGAAAAGTTTAAAGAAAAAATATAAAGAAATAAATGACCACAACTCAAAAACAGGGACAGATCGTATGGACTGGAAACATAAAGAAGCATTTGATAGGGCATATGGGAATAAGGCATCTACAAAACTAAGTGCATCTTTTGACACAGGTCGACTAAAGGAGTCAACAAAAAGTGATGAGAGTTTGAAAAGAAAACTTGAAAAGGGAGATGGGGAAGAAGCAGTGGAGACAAAAGCTGAATTGCCAAAAAAGAAGAAGATTAGATCTAATTTGAAAAGCGATTTAATTGAAAAGTTGGATGCTCAGAACTTAAAACTGATGGATCAAATGGAAACACAGCACAGAGACAAACTTGAGAGAATGGACCGAATGCTCGATTTGTTTGAAAGATCATTGGACAAAAAATAACAATTTACTGATCTCACATGTCATATGATTGTCAGACTTTGCTTTTTTTTTTTTTTTTTTTTTTTTTTTTCAGAATATAGGTATATACTGATACATATTACTTAAAACAAAGTATTTTATTTTGTGATATTTTTTTAATTTTGTGGTTTACACTTTTTTTTTACAATTGTTATGTTATTTATGCACAAGCAGTGTATTGATTTTTACGTTGACTTGTTATGAATATTAAAACATAAACACTTCAGTTGTTTTTCTATTTAATATTTCTCAAATTCACAGTAATGCGTTCATTATTTCATTTCTCCTGGCTGCTCCACACCCTCCATCCAGGTATATGTTTGGATAAAAATTAGCATTCACATCATGATCTTCCTCTATAAAATCTTCCACATCATCATGGCTAAGAACACACAAGTTATGGAGTATGCATCCGGAAATAATAATTGCAATTATCTGAGGTGGTTTCCGGACAGTAATTTCCCTTAACCTGCGAAACCTCCCCTTAAGATGACCGTAGCATCGTTCAACTATCTGCCGGGCACTCGACAGTCTCCTGTTAAACCTGTGCTGTCTTGGAGTAAGGTGTCCTGTGTTCCTAAATGGAGTGATTAGCCAATTTCTTAAGGGGTATGCGCTGTCTGCGATGATAAAGTTGCCTTGACCAATAGCATTTCCCTGCTCCTCATCCTCAAATAATGATGAGTTGCGCAAAACCCTGGCATCGTGAGTGCAGCCTGGCCATTCAGTGTATGCATGACGAATGACCATGTCACTGTCACATACTACCTGAAAATAAGTGGTATCAGTTTGATATTTACATGTAATGAAATTATTCACAAGAATTAATCCCAAAAATAAGCATTGAATTAAATATTCAGGAAATATACGATACCTGCAACTGAATGGATGGAAACTGTTTTCTGTTAAAGTAATCTCGGTCCCCTTTTGGTGCTGAGTGAAGTCGGATATGGGTTCCATCCAGGGCTCCAATTATGCCAGGAATTCCACTTTGTAATTGAAAATCACGGGATATGGCTTGCTGCGTTTGAATACTAGGTCAGTCAATTATCTAATAAAAACAAAATATAAAATTTTAGAGGGGGAATGCAGCATAATATAACAAAACAGTATATTCAGTCTGTTTTGGGGGTCAACTGCAAAACAAACAGTGTGCAAAACGAATCTAATGAAACATTTCTGTAAACGGTTAATGGTAAGAATAAAACATAACAATGAGATTTTTATAAAAAAAAAATATATATCATGAAATTATCAATATCATTGTAATTTTGATTTACAGTATACATATATCCGCTTTAGGTTACCTGTACCCATGGTTTTTGACCATCATTTTCAAGTTTATTTACTTACTCTTATTAAGAGAGTGTTTATGGCGTATGATATGGATTTGACCACGTCGTGGACCGTCTTGATCCCAACTCCAAACTGCACACTTATTTCCCTCAAAGATTCTTGACTTGCCATATATGCAAGGAAAATAAGTAACTGTTTGCTTGGCTCGATCTGCTCTGTTCCCCCGCCATGCTTTGATACGATATAGCCTTGCACTTCACGAAGTATAATGTCATACACAGCTGGTGTTACCCGAAAATGCGATCTAAATAATGCTGCATCAAACAATGGCACAATATTTTCGGCATAGTTGGTTATCCTCGGAATAACTCGGTTATGATTCAGCAAGGCAGCAATTGTTAAATTTCTCGCAAGGTATACTGTCATGTCATTGTCATTTTCGTCCAAAAAGTATTGCATCAAAATAACTTCCATATTGCGAGTACAGACTCTGCTGCAAAACGCGTTTATCTGGAGAGTTGCGTGCGCATGAATTGTTTACGTCCTGTTATAACTAGAGTCAAGACTAGAGTTTCCAGATAAAAAAGCTCAATAAGACAGGATCAGCCTACCCCATGGGTGAATTCAATGGTCACACCTATCAAATCCAACGGAAGTATTCGAATCTGTGTAGATCCACGGGACCTTAATAGAGCCATTATGCGAGACAGTGGACGAAGTAATTACGCAAGTTCGAGATGCGAGCATGTTCACAAAACTTGATGCATCATCCGGATTTTGGCAACGCAAGCTTGATGAGCAGAGCACAAAGCTATGCACCTTTAACACACCATATGGGAGATACAGCTTCACCAGAATGCCCTTTGGCATCAAATCTGCTTCGGAAGTCTACCAGAGGGCTATCTACGACATGGTGAAAGCCATTGGAGGATGAGAAGCCATCATAGATGATATTCTTATTTGGGGTAGAGATCAACAGGAACATGATGAACGTCTACGACATGTTCTGGATCGTGTGCAGAAATTCATCTTAAAACTTAATCCAGAAAAGTGTGAATTTCGCAGAGAAAAAGTCACATATGTTGGACATGAACTTTCTAAAGCCGGTGTGAGGCCAGATCCAAAAAGATAAGAGCAGTACAAGAAATGAAACCGCCAGGAAATGTGAAAGAACTAATGACATTTCTTGGATTTGTGCAATATTTGGGAAAATTTATTCCAAATTTATCTGAAATCAGTGCACCATTGAGACATTTACTCAGCAAAGACGTTGCATGGCACTGGGAAGAGGAACAGATGAAGAGTTTTGAGAAATTGAAGCAGCTAGTGACAGAAGCACGAGTACTTAGATATTATAACCTCAAGAAAGACTTAGTACTAACAGTGGATGCAAGTTCAAAGGTACTTTGGCGCCTGTATTCTTCAAGAAAATCAGCCTATTGCTTATGGTTCTAGAGCATTGACAGTCAGCAGAACTATGCCCAAATAGAAAAGGAGACACTGGCAATCACTTTTGGCTGTACCAAACTTCACCAATATATCTTTGGACGTCATATGGTTGTTGAAAGTGATCACAAACCTTTACAGAGCATATTCAGAAAGTCTCTTCATTCTGCTCCACCAAGATTACAAAGATGTAATGTATTGGCCAGGAATGTCTAAAGACATCGAGAAAATGGTAGTGTGAGATATGAGCACAGCACTCTACCTCAAACCCAAAGGAACCACTTACATGTATTCCTCTGGAAGTACCTGACAGACCATGGGGCAACATTTCAGCAAACATCTTTGAATTTGAGAACCAACAATACCTGGTATCAGTCGATCATTACTCAAAATGGCCAGAAGTCGTGAAGTTACCAAGACTTAGCAGTTATGCTACAATACAATGTCTGAAGTCCCAATTTTCCAGAAATGAACTACCTGATAAAGTCCTTACAGATAACGGACCACAGTTCAGCAGCAAGGAGTTCAGAGATTTTAGCAAGGAATACGGTTTTGTTTATGTGACTTCATCACCTCATTTCCCGCAAGCCAGTGGACAAGCAGAAAGAACCGTTACAACAGTCAAGAACTTGTTAAGTAAAGCCAAAGACCCATACAAATCTTTGCTTGACTATGGTAAAACCAACATTGAAGAAATTTGTTTATCACCTGCACAGATGTTCTTAGGCAGAAGACTAAAAACAGAACTCCCTACTGCTTCTCTACTTTTATCAGCAGCAACATCGTCAAGTGATCTGAAGATGCGAATGGAAACCAGAAAGACCAAACAGAAGGTATACTTTGACCGTCATGCAGGCAGAGAACTTCGACCACTTGAATCAGGTGAAAAAATAGTCATGAAACATGGAAACGATTGGATACCCGGAAACGTGATGAATAAACACAGCAACAGGTCCTATTTAGTCAAGACCAGTGATGGAACCATATACAGAAGAAACCGTAAACATATCAGACCAACAGCAGCTGAATTTAAACGTTATCAAGACTCCAAAGAACCAGAAATCTCTGACTCATCCAATTTGACAATAACCAAAGAGTCATCTGATGAAATTCTACCGAAAGCCGGAAGTACACCACAATCATCAGACTTACCAAAATATCTTGAAACAGTTAAGTCGTCATCTTGCATTGTTTCGAGATCAGGACATGTCGTGAAGCCACCAAAGAAATTCGAGGACTTCGCCAATTGATCGTGTTGTGAAATTTGGTGTATCAGTGAAAAAGTGTTTATATGTGTAGCGTATATGTGTATGTGTTTTTCAGTGATGTCTCAGTCTCAAAATTCTCAGGAGCTGGAATTTTGGAGGAAAATTCTGATTCTTCAGAACATTTTGTTAATTGTATTTTGAACTGGTTATATCAAAGTTAAGATTCAAAATTTGAATTTCTTACTTGTATCAATTTTATATTTGAATAATAATATTTATCTTAAGGAGAAGGATGTAATGTATTCTACTTTTACCTTATGCCGCTCAGCGTCCCTGATGCGTTTGATTGTATGTGTATTGTCTTATGTCTTGTTATGTTCGTGTATGAATCAGTTTAATAGAAAAGGTTGGAAAAACGCACATGGCGTGGTCAGACATATAAAAACCCCTTCCTCCTTATTGTACGCGTGCGCAGAAAAGTTGTAGACGTTACCATGGTCTCAAGTACCAAAAAATGAATGTCGGTAGACCAAGAATTTTGATACAATCTTCAAAAAAGATTATTAGAACATATTTCTCACCTATGCATGCTCCAATTGAATGTTGTTTACAATTTTACGCTAAAAATAAGAAAGTGGTTGACCTTGACATGCACGATGACAACGAAACGGTAGATACAACCTTTGTTTTTTGGCACTTACATTATACAGTCTTTTCTTGCTTTACAGTGTAGTTGAGTTTGTCATATCTTCGCTATACTCATATTTTTCATAAATCTTTTGCTTTATGATACAGATATCGTAAAAGAAACACATGTGTTTGACTCATTATGTAATTTTAATTAGATGAAATTCTTAACTAGTATTCTACACGAAGATATACCTATGGTGAGAAATGAAAATTTACTGCAGAATGTAGTGCAAAGTATGCATGTACATGTAGTAGATGTAGTACAAAAATAGTGTTTCGTTTCATGGAATTTAAATAGGACAATCAATTGTATTAATCATACTTAAACGGATCTAGTCAGTAGTATTTGAAGCCAGTTTTTAAAATTTTATACTATTATTTTACCATTGCTATTAGGAAACGGCTTTAAAGCCCAGTAGAAGAGATCAAGCAGTTCATTTAATTTCGCAAGTGAAAAATCTTGTTTTAAGTATATATGGATGAAAGTTTATAATGCATTTTAAGTTATGAACATCTGCCGAAATATGGCTGAAATATTACCGACTCGGCGATAAGCAACAAACTATAAATCAATCAATAAAGTGAAACATTTATTTCAGGGCATTTCCACACAATGTGAAAGGAAAAGAAGAAATGTCTTTGATGTGTGTGAAAATAAACTTTCCATTTTTCTTGACTGGGAATTTTGAATTCTGATGTACCTCTCCTATTGGCCGGTGTAACGACGAAGAGTGACCCCCGTAGAATATTGACCGGGGATCATTTGTCTACGTAGAAATTTGTCCCCTTGGTCAATATTCTACGTAGAAAAATGACCCACTTTTTTGTAGAAATTATGGCCTTGGGGTCATTTTTCTCCATGTGGATTGTATAAAAATGACCCTGTAAAATAATGACCCTGTGTCATTTTTTGATACCAGAAAGAAAAAAACTGCATGGTTTTGGTAGGAAAATTCTTGTTAGGCAAATACATAGGGGTTAAATCACGCAGCCTTATGATATGAAGTGTTCATTTCTAAAAGCTTTAAAGTTTAAAATTAAAAGGTTATACTATACTTTACATTAAAAATACAAGATGTCTTATCCCTGTTAAAGGAAAGCCTAACAAGGCTATAATGATGTTCTATTACTACATGTATTAGAGCAAGAATACATGTACGTATATTCTTTGATTTGTTTTATCACAGTTTATAAAATAAGTTTCCAAAGTTGTAATTACTTAAAAAATCAAGATCATTTTCTTAGCTGGTGTAAAAAAAAGAAACAGATAAATAAAAAAAAATGTATAGCTTCCATAATTGTAATTCTCTTTGATTTTACTCTGGGAAAATAATGTGCAACAAATAAAAATATAGTCTTCGTTTTTTCTTTAGAAGTTATAAGATAGGTTAACGTTTTAGAACCCTACCTAAATAAATTTGCGTGATAAAAAATGGAAGATTGATAAGAAAATTCGAACTCGTAAATATCTCTGATTTTCTATGAATAAAGTCTCAAACTTCTTCTCATAAAGATATAGGGAAGATTACATTTGTGATAAATTAAATTGTGTAAATCAACATGCCTCTTACCTTCGATATCAGGGGCACAAAAAGTGATTAGCTCAAAATCTTTAACCAATGTCTTTTGTTATTTGTTAGTGTCAACAAAATCTTTAACAAAATGAGGCTTTTTACATAAAAAAAATTGATTGCTTAAAAAAAGAGGTGTTTAGTATACCAAGAATTGACACAAGTTTATACACGGTAGTATCGTCTGTCCCCTTTCTAGTTACATGTATTTATTTAAAAAAAATTACCAATAGAAGCAAGAGGCCCATGGGCCACATCGCTCACCTGAGCACATTGGCTAGGAAAAAGCCCAAATCACTTCAGTATTGAAAAGTTTAAAGGGGGGGGGGGCTTGGATTTTGAACTACCTGAGGATGCTTTCATATCAATACATGTATATCAAATGGCTTTGCTGTTCTTGAGCAGAAGATTTTTAAAGATTTTTTTCCTATATATTCCCTTGTTAAAAATTTGATCCCCCATTGTGGACCCTCCCTACCCCTCCCATCATTTGAACAAACTTGAATCTACACTACCTGAGGATGCTTCCATATCAATATGACTAAACATGGCTTTTCTGTTGTTGAAAAGATTTTTTCCTATATATTCCTATGTAAAATTTGATCCCACATTGTGGCCCCACCCTACCCCTGGGTGTTATGATTTGAACAAACTTGAATGTACACTACCTGAAGATGCTTCCATATCTGTATGACAAAACATGGCTTTGCTGTTCCTGAGAAGAAGATTTTTCAAGTTTTTCCCCCTCTATATTCCTATGTAAAACTATGCCCCCCACTGTGGCCCCATCCTACCCCCAGGGGTCATGATTTGAACAAACTTGAATCTACACTACGTGAGGATGCTTCCATATCAATATGACAAAACATGGCTTTGCTGTTCCTGAGAAGAAGATTTTTCAAGTTTTTTTCCCTATATATTCCTATGTAAAACTATGATCCCCCATTGTGGTCCCACCCTACCCCCAGGGGTCATGATTTGAACAAACTTGAATCTACACTACCTGAGGATGCTTCCATATCAATATGACAGAACATGACTTTGCTGTGCTTGTTGAAAAGATTTTTTAAAAGTTTTTTCCTATATATTCCTGTGTAAAACTTTGATCCCCCATTGTGGCCCCACCCTAACCCTGGGGGTCATGATTCGAACAAAGTTCAAACTACACTATCTGAGAATGCTTCCATATCAACATGACTTAACAAGGCTTTGCTGTTCTTGAGAAGAAGATTTTTCAAGTTTTTTTTCTGTATATACCTATGTAAAACTTTGATCGCCCATTGTGGCCCCACCCTACCCCCAGGGGTCATGATTTGATACAAACTTGAATCTGCACTACTTGAGGATGAATCCACATCAATATGACTAATTGTGACTTTGTTGTTCTTGAGAAGATTTTTCAAGATTTTTTTCCTATATATTTCTATGTAAAACTTTGATACCCCATTGTGGCCCCACCCTACCCCTGGGGGTCATGTTTTGTACAAACTTTAATCTACACTACCTGAAGATGATTCCATATCAATATGACTAATTGTGGCTTTATTGTTCTTGAGAAAAAGATTTTTAAAGATTTTTTTCTTTAAATTCCTATGTAAAATTTTGATCGCCCATTGTGGCCCAATCCTACCCCCCGGGGGTCATGATTTGTACAAACTTGAATCTACACTACCTGAGGATGATTTCATATCAATATGACTAATCGTGGCTAAGTTGTTCTTGAGGAGAAGATTTTTAAAGATTTATTCCTATATATTCCTGTGTAAAACTTTGATCCCCCATTGTGGCATCACCCTACCCCTGGGGGTCATGATTTGAACAAACTTGAATTTACACTATGTAATGAAGGTCTCACATAAGTTTCAACTTTTACAGCCCAGTGGTTCTTGAGAAGAAGATTTTTAAAAGATACCACCAAATTTTCAATAATTCTTAATTATCTCCCCTTGAAAGAGGGTGTGGCCCTTCATTTGAACAAACTTGAATCCCCTTTACACAAGGATGCATTGTGGCAAGTTTGGTTGAAATTGGCCCAGTGGTTCTTGAGAAGAAGTCGAAAATGTGAACGGACAGACAGACAGACGGACGACGGACAAAATGTGATCAGAAAAGCTCACTTGAGCCTTCGGCTCAGGTGAGCTAAAAACATTGCATTATGAAAAAAAGCTTCCTATTCTTATTTTCATAATTTTTTTTCTGAGTATGATTGGCAATATTAGCACATTCGAAGGTGCGTGTGCAAAAAATATAGGAATAATATAGACCTGTACAAATAAGTATTGTAAAACATTAAATTGTATTAGAATCAATTAAGTATCATGCGAGATTCGTATAAGCCTATCTATAGTGGCGAGTTTTGAAGGGGTCACGGGGTTGTAATCCACTCTTTGAATTTACTAGTAGCCTATAGAAAAAAAAATCCCTTCTGGCCATGTACGTCTTTCCTATAAACAAATTAAGCATTCTTGCTGTCTGAAACGATTGATTGATTGTATGTTGTTTTACGTCCCATACAATCAATCAATCAATCGTTTCAGGCAGCAAGAATGCTTAATTTGTTTAAACGAGGTTTAAAAATATAAAAGGGTTTTTAGGATGAAAGTGAATCTATTTAGGATAAAAGTGAATCTTTTCCCTTTCACCGAAATCTTACAAGGAATGCATATGTGCATAATAATGCAGGTTGTTTTAAATTCATTACGATTTATAAATTTTATCTCTATAATGTTACTTGGCTAGAGGAGGGCGGTAAGTGCGACAGCGGCAACCTTGTAACAATTT